TCACTCAGCAGGGAATAGACTTGAGATTCTCTCTCTCCCTCTCCCTCCACCCCTCCCCTTGCTCTCTCTAAAATAAATAAATCTTTTTTTTTTTAAAGATTTATTCATTTGAGAGAGCGAGAATGAGAGAGAGCACATGAGAGGGGGGAGGGTCAGAGGGAGAAGCAGGCTCCCCGCCGAGCAGGGAGCCCGATGCGGGACTCGATCCCGGGACCCCAGGATCACGACCTGAGCCGAAGGCAGCCGCCCAACCAACTGAGCCACCCAGACGCCCAATAAATCTTTTTTTTAAAAGAACATTTATAAATATATACACATCTAACAACAGAGCCCCAAAATATCTGAAGCAAACATTGACAGAATTGAAGGGGGAAATAAGATAGTTCTACAATAATAGCTGGAGACTTCAATACCCAATTTCGATTTTTTTTTTTTACTTCATTTATTTGAGAGAGTGAGAGCGAAAGAGATCACAGAAGAAGAGGGAGAAGCAGACCCACCACTGAGCAGGGAGCCGATGTGGGGGTCTCGATCCCAGGACCCTGAGATCATGACCTGAGCTGAAGGCAGACGCTTAATCTACTGAGCCACCCTGGTTCACCCCCCCATTTCAATATTTGATAGAACTAGAAGTAATATTAATAAAGAAATAGACACCATAAACCAATAAGATCTAAAAGACAAATACAGAACATACAATAATCACATAATACATATTCTTTTAAATGAACATGAAACATCTCTTAAACCATATGTTATGTCACAAATTTTCAGTAAATTTAAATAATTGAAATTATACAAAGTACTTTCTCTGACCTCAGTGGAATGAAGCTAGAAATCTGTGACAGAGAAAAACTGGAAAAGTAGCAAATATGTGGAAATTAAACAAAACACACTTAAACTGTCGGTCAAAGAAAAAATCACAAGGGTAATTAGAAAATACTTTGAGATGAATTAAAATAAAAACACATCATACCAAAACTTAGGGGATGCAGAGAAAGTGTTCAGAGGAAATATATAGCTGTAAATGCCTATATTAAAAAAGAAGGAAGGTCCCAAATTAACAACCCAAATTACACTCTAAAGAACTAGAAAAAGAAAAATGAAACCCAAAGCCAGCAGAAGGAAATAATAGTGATTAGAGCAGAGGTATATGAAATAGTGAATAGAAAAATAGAATAAAATAAAAAATTGGTTTTGGAAAAGATCAACAAAACTGACAAAATTTTAGATAGACTGACAAAGAAAAAAGAGGGAAGGCTCAAATTACTAAAATCAGAAATGTAAATGGGGGCATTATTACTGACCTTATAGAAATAAGGATTATAAGAGAATCTATGAACAATTGTACATCAACAAATTAGATAACATAGATGAAATGGAGAAACTCCTTAAAAACACACAAACCACCACCACTTGCTTAAGAAAAAATAGAAAATATAAATAGATATAAGATATTGATTGAATTAGTAATTAAAAACCACCCAACAAAGAAAAGCCCAGAATCAACTGGCTTTACTGGTGAATTCTATCAAACATTCAAAGAAGTATGTGCCTGACACAAAAGAACTACTCAATATTTTGGATATGGATATTAGGATATGCAAACTGGTAATTCTCATAATTATGCAAAGTAAATGGGCTGGTTTAAAAATATATAAGAAAAGCAGGGGCGCCTGGGTGGCTCAGTCCATTAAGCAGCTCCTTATTTCAGCTCAGGTCATGATCTCCCGGTACTGGGATCAAGCCCCACCTTGCGCTCTGCACTCAGCGGGGAGTCTGCTTGAGCATTCTTCCTCTCCCTCTGCCCCTCTCCCTGCTCGAGTGTGCTCTCTCTCTCAAATAAATAAAGATTTTCCTTATTTGAGAGAGAAAATGAACCGGGGAGGGGGGGAAGGGCAGAGGGAGAGGGAGAAGCAGACTCCCCAGTGAGCAGGGAGCCCAGTGATGCAGGGCTTGATCCCAGGATCCCGAGAATATACCTGAGCCAAAGTCAGAGGCTCAACCGACTGAGCCACGCAGGCACCCTGATAAATAAATCTTTTTAAAAAATGTGTAATAAAAACCTAGAGAGTGCTTTGAAAACCATCAGGCAATTACATAAAAATCTCAATTATTATTTCAAAGAAGAGGGTAACAGTATAGATGTGACATGTATGATGGTATTGCTCTGCTGTGATCATAGCAATAATTCAGGCTAGAATTCTCCTTTACTGTGTATTCAGCATTATCGCTCAGACATTCTAGAATGTAGTGGATGTGATAACCCCTTTGTTATTTAGACTAACAGGTTTCCATGATATTTTGCTGCAAGTCCAATGCACCAGGAATAGTTTTTTTCTTTATTAAAACAAGATTTTTAAAAAAGCTGTCTTTCAGCACCCAACATCATTGATAGAAACTTCTTTACTGTGATAAAATTCTAGAAATCTGAGTTTGGGGCCTTGGTGAGGAACCCCTTCTCTTCCCCACAGGTAAAGTGGGACGTGGGTTTTCTTGCTTTTGCCTAGAGACTGGGTACTTGAATCTCTGTGTTATCTCCTTATCCTGCTAGAGTCTTCCTTTTTAGCCTGGATGATACCGGCATGGGGATCATTCCTTGACCAGGCCTACAACTCTGTCTTCCCTTGACAGAGCAGTCACTGACTACCACCTGCCCAACAGTGAAAAGTTTTCAACTTTCTGAACATCTTTCATAGCCAGAACAACTATGTTAAAATAATATTATTACCAAATAACTTGATAATAATATGGTATTATTTTGTATCTTACAAAACCATTTGACATGACCTGTAGCGCTGGGCTTTAGCAGACAAAGTGAGTTCATCAACAGTTGAAGTCATGACAAGAATGAAAGCACCTTGATGAATATGTTTATGGTATAGATTGTGGTGATGGTTTCATGGGTTTACACTTATCTCCAAAACTCATCAAGTTATATACATTAACTATGTATAGCTTTTTGCATGTCAATCATATCTCAATAAAGTGGTTTTTTAAAAAGTGAAAACACCTCCTGTTCATTAAATTTTTACTACAAGGCAGGTGTTATGCTAAGTTTTTATATATATTCTTTAATCTTCTTGACGATTCTATGAGGTAGGTATTGTTATCATCCCCATTTTGCAGATGAGAAGACTGAGTTTCTGAGAAGTTGAGTGCTAAAGACTACAAAGTGCTTTGTAAGTCATCAAGGTAGGAGATGATCTCAGGAATGCCTGACTCCAAAGCAGGGGCTCTTAACCATTATACTATAGTGCCCTCCTGCCTCCTATGATGGCATAAAGAATTGTATCAGAATGGATAATTTGTGGTTGAAACCCCTGCATGGGTACTCTTAGTCTAATTTTTCCCCATAGTAATACTTGAAGATGCAACAGGATAGGAGCAGCTGATGAGGTTGAATCTTTCATTGTCTGGCAGAATAGAAGCTGGAAGTTCCTCCCTTCTACCCCTTCCACCTTGTGATGGATTTTGAGGAACTTTCAAACTTAGTGGGCAGTTTTGAGAATTACCTGGGCTACAGGTGAACACATATATTAGAACCTTAATTTAACAACTGGATAAGACTTGAATGTGGTAAAAGACCCATTTGTTCAACCAACAAGCAATATGGTACTACATACTACATTAGAATAAAAATACAGTAATAAAACACAGGCACAAAATTTGAGGATATTGTAACTATCTCATAAGATAACACAACATTTTAAGAGAAATGATGAAACTTTTAGGCATGCTTTTTTAAGCCAAAGGACCATTAGAAATGAGGAAGAGCGTTTGGATCTTCATAAGGCATCTTAAGTAGTTGTGTGATCTCGAAAGTCTTGGGCTTTGGTTTCCTCATCTAAAAAAAAAAAAAAAAATCCAAAACCTTGCTTTAGGGAGAGTCTATTTTTGAAGTAGGTAGCAAAACAATTTTGGGTGGCCAAATCTCTGTGAAAGTGTTTTTTAATTATCTTTAGCCAGTGGTAGTTTATTTCAGTGATTACACTGGTTGTTATAAATGGCACTATCTGATTTTTTTTTTTTTAAAGATTTTATTTATTTATTTGAGAGAGAGAGAATGAGAGAGAGCACATGAGAGAGGGGAGGGTCAGAGGGAGAAGCAGACTCCCTGCCGAGCAGGGAGCCCGATGCGGGACTCGATCCAGGGACTCCAGGATCATGACCTGAGCCGAAGGCAGTCGCTTAACCAACTGAGCCACCCAGGCGCCCGGCACTATCTGATTTTTATTTATTTATTTATTTAACAAATTTCACTTGGCTTACTGGTAATTAAACAGACACGAAACCTGGATATGTTGCGGCGCAGTGTTCTCCAGCTACATATCCCTCTGTCGTGGCAATTAAGAAAAACATTTCCTGAATTTTGCACTTTCAGTGCTTAAAGAGTTTTAACATCTAATGGACACGCACAGCCAAACCATGTATTTATTGGCTATACGAGAAATGATGAGCGATGACTATTGTGGGAGTGAATTCTCACCCGGTTACTTTTGCCTGAAGAGTACCTGTGAGCACTGTCACACCCAGCCAAATCCGAAAACGAAATAGACCGACATGAAGCAAAAAGCCCCTGCCCTGCCCCCATCACCCCTAAAAGCTTCCATCTGTACATCGTTAGCTCTGAGTCCCCTACTTTTCACTGAACACGTTGATTTCTAGCAAACGCGCTCTCCTTAGTTTTCAAGGCGGGGCCGAGAATGGGGGGCGGTTCGGTCTGTCACGGAAGTTCCCTCTAGGAACGGTTTTTCCCTCCCGCCCAGCCGCCCGCCTACTCCAGCCACTAGCCCGCGGCCCAGGAGGAAGGCGCCTCGCAATGAATTCCTTAGGTAACGTCCGCCCCTGCGATCCCGCTGGGAGTGGTAGTTTGCGTGAGTCCCCCATTGCCCGCGCGCAAGAGCAGAGGGGGCCCGGTAGAAACTACGTTTCCCAGGAGCCCTCGGACCAGGGGCGGAGCCGTCCTAGGGGGCGGGGCTCCAACCGGAGGCGGTGATTGTGGCGCCTCATTCATAAATGCCGCGACGATTCTTGCTGTGCTTTGAGTGGACTGAGAGGCCGGGGGACGGCGGAGCGGTAATTTGTGGGTGAAAGGAGCGGGGGGAGCTGGTGTGTTTGCAGCCCTGCATCTAAGAGTGTCGGCGGGGCGTGGGAGGGACCCTCTCCGGGCCTCCGGGCTGGCTCGGCGGGGCGCGGAGGGAGCCGGACGCCGGGCGACCCTGCGGCGGAAGCCAACATCAATTCTGTGGACGTCCTTGCTTCACGCTGTTTTGTGGGGAGCCTGCCTTTAAAGGACGCTCACCGCCTGTGGTTTTGGCTGTACTTCAAGCTGCTGTTTAGAAGCGCAGGGGTCACAGTCGGTTCGAAAAGAAAGTGTAAAGTGGCATTGCTTTCTGTCCTCCTTAAGGGCCGATCATCAGATGATCATCAGTCAAGAGCTGTTTTTTAAAGCTTTCCTGTGGATTCGTGGTTTTCAAGAACATGTATTTTGGGAGACTGATAAATCATCTCCCAAATCAACTAGTTATACGGTCGGAGGGTGACTTTGAATAAACTGTGTGTGTCCACTTTTTCCCGTCAGGATGCAGAGAATTTATTCCCCCAAACTGCTTCAAGAATGTTTACATAGCACTCTCTGGAGGTTTCGAGGCTGTGAATTTGTTTCAGACAGATATTGATATCTAAAAAATCCTAGTCCACATGCTAATCCTTTCTAGACATTTTGCTATATATATGTTCCCTTTAGTTTGCCTGAATATTAATAATAAATAGGAGATTAAGGTGAAACAGTATTTTTATTCTTCATGCTGACAGTAAATACACTGAGGATCATATTCATGAAATTAAAATGAAGGAATAGAGGTGTTTTAAGTGTGGTTTGTTTGTTTTTTAAAGATTTTATTCATTTTGACAGAGAGAGAGACAGCGAGGGAGGGAACACAAGCAGGGGGAGTGGGAGCAGGAGAAGCAGGCTTCCCGCTGAGCAGGGAGCCTGATGCGGGCTCGATCCCAGGGCTCTGGGATCATGATCTGAGCCGAAGGCAGACGCTTAACGACTGAGCCGCCCAGGCGCCCCTAAGTGTGGTTTGTTTTAAGATGTTTAAGATGCACAAGGGCACTCGTCAGTCTAGTAGGGAACTTTTCTAGTTTTTGATGTTACAAAATAACCTTGTAGCTTGTCTCTTCTAAATTTGGATTTCAAATTTTCTCGCTAAAGTCTTTGAAATTTAACATAGATTACTTGGTTGATTTTGATGAAAAGCTCTTACCTTTTAGATAGGCTTTCAACTAAAAAATAGTTAGAATTAGTTTGCTTAGAACAGATTTTTAAAAATTATTCAGGAATAACAGATATTCAGTAAACTGCCCTGATCTTAAGTGTACTACCCAAATGTATACACGGTGTAATCACCACCAGGTAAAGATGATAACACTCCCTATCAACCCTGAAGGCAGAAGCCTCTTCTCAGTCAGTGCCAACCCCAGCTACCTAGATAACCATGGGACTGACTTCTGTACTTACAAATTTATTTTGCCTATTCTTGAACTTCATATTAAATGGAAACACGGTATGAATTTGTTGAGACTTGGACTCAACATTACTCATCCATGTTGTTTGTAGCAGCAGTTTTTTAAAATACGTGAATAGCTGTGGTTCTCAAACTGTGATATCAGTGAGAAAAATCACACTGTCACTTTGGTCTTTGCTTATTGAATAGTTTGCAAGCATCCCTTTTGTCCTATATTTCTTTGAATAGTTCTACAAACTGGTGATTCATAGTATTTGTATATATGTTTTAACAACTGTACCCATGACACTGTTTCAGGATTCTGCTTCAGAAAATGGAGCACAAGTATTTTCAGTGTATGTCATTACACTCAGTAAAGCAACAAGGGAAACAGCAGTCTCTTGTTTTAAAATTCCATTAAATCCGGTTTTAATAAAATGACCCCATCTGTCTTTCAGTTCTTCAGTCACAGTAGCTACTTTCAAGTGCTAAATAGCCATATGTGACTAGTGGCTACCATAATGGACAGCAAGTTCTAGGTAATTGTACTTTTTTGTCTTTATGTCTTATTTATTTTGTCTTTATTTCTTATATTTCTTTATTTCTTTGCATTTTGCCTTTGTCAGTTTAACAGTATATCTTGGATATATTCAGGACTCCCGTGTCAGTACTTAATAAGCTTACTTGGTTCTCTGTAACCGTTGCATAATGTGAATACTACAATTAGCTGGTCCTCCCTTAATAGACATTTCAGACATTAATCTCAGTTTATTACAAATGTTGCGAACTTGTGCCAGTAGAGCACAAAATGCTGGATGTGAAATTGCTGAGTCAAAGTTTGTGTGCATTTACAGTTTGGATCGATATAGTCAAATTGCCCTTCAAAAGGTTTTACCAGTTTACATTCCCAAGTAACACTTTATGAAGACTTCTTTTCCACATTGGGGTTTAGTAATTTTTAGTTTTTGCCAACCTGGTATGTGAAAGATGGTATGTCATTACTATTTTAATTTCTATTCACTTGAGTGATGATGAGCATTTTTTAATGTATGGGCATTTATATTTCTTTTTCTGCTTATATCTTTTTTTTTTTTTTTTTTTTTGCAGACACTAGGTACAAAGCTAAATACATGTTTGCCTCCAGATTGCCATTTTTCATTTCCCTTTGGGGATGTCTATCTAATCTATCTATCTATCTTTCTATCTATCTATCTATCTGTCTGTCTTAAAGTCTAGAATTGTATCTGAAAAATAAGTGTGACATGTCATTTCACTTTGGTACTAGATTTTCTCGTTTCTCCCCTCAAGGACAATATGCTATAGTAATTCTCTCCTTTCTCCATCCTCATCAGCCTACAGACATGCTTTTATTTCTCTGGTCTTAAAAAATCTTTCTTCGCCATGCTTCCCTGCGCAGCTACTGTCCTATTTATTTCCTTCCCTTTATAACAAAACTCCTGGAAAGAGTTAGCTGTCCTCAGTTTTCCGTTCTTTCATGTATTACCTCCATTCAAGCTTTTGCAGCCTTCTTCCCCAAGTTGCTCTCATTGAAGTTATCATGACCTTTACTTTGCTTAATCCCAAGGTCAGCTCTCAGTTCTCCTCACCCTTCATCTCTTTTTTTTTTTTTTTAAAGATTTTGTTTATTTATTCATGAGAGACACAGAGAAAGAGAGAGAGAGGCAGAGGGAGAAGCAGGCTCCCAAGGAGCAGGGAGCCCGATGCGGGGCTCGATCCCAGGATCCCGGGATCATGACCTGAGCTGAAGGCAGACGCTTAACCATCTGAGCCACCCAGGCGCCCTCTCACCCTTCATCTCTTAAAAGCTTTTAACACATCTCTTTCTTCCTTGAAACACAATTTCTTCACTTGGCCTCAAGAACACTATACTTTCTACATCTTCTGTTTTTTGTCTACCCTTAGTCACTTAGTGATCTTACCCAGTGTCAAGGCTTTAAATAGCATCCATATGCTAAGGATACTCACATTTATGCTTGACAGCCTTGGCCTCATCCATGAATCCCATTCTTGTGTGTCCAGCTGCGTTTATGATAATGACTGGAATGTCTGTTAGGCATCTTAAAATGTTTGAAATTCAGGGATGGCTCCCTGCTCAGTGGGGAGTTGGCCTCTCCCCCTCTGCCCCTTCCCCCTGCTTGCTCCCCCCCCAAATAATAAAATCTTAAAAAAAAAAAGCCTAGGGGCGCCTGGGTGGCTCAGTTAGTTAAGCGACTGCCTTCGGCTCAGGTCATGATCCTGGAGTCCCGGGATCGAGTCCCGCATCGGGCTCCCTGCTCGGCAGGGAGTCTG